TATGGTTTCTCTTTGCTGCCTTCGCCGCCAGCCTCTTCTTTGTCTTAAAAGAGCTCCGGCGCGGCGGTGGTTCCGTTCGCGGTCCTAATATGTCCCAGATCGGCGTATAGGCTGCTGATCGGATCGACAATCACTATTTCTCTAGGACCGGTAGGGAGTACGCTACGACTTTACGGGAGAGCAATGCATGCTAAATTTGGGGGTCCGGCCATTGAATGTACGACCAAGGGGTGCAGAGTTATGAATAAACACGGGGAAGACGGGCTTGGCGTTCGGGTCGACTTGTATTCTCAGGGGCAAGTCACCTGGTGTAATTCATGTCCTGCGCGGGCGCTGAAAGCATTATTCCGAAATAGTTCTAAAGGCATTGGATGAGTTTTGTACACCTTGGTTGCTTAATTTTGTCGTTTACGCAAGAACTACGAAATACAACCAGTGTATAGGGGCTTGGATTACGCATAAGAAGAAAAATAATCATGTTTGAATTAGTCAAGTACCTAGTTAAATAATTAGAATACCAATAAGGTATCTATAATATTTGTTTTTCGAGCCTAAACCTCCTATTAGGACATTCGAATGCACAACAGAGAAGCGATGTGACCAACCAAGCATTAACAACCCAAATTCTTACCCTCTGGCATAGTTATTATCTGTCAGATTATCCACTTGACCAAAAGGTAACTTGTAATGTCATAAAATGTCATTACTTATTATATGCGACATTATCCTACCCCCACGTTACAGGTATGAACGACACCGGCTTAGACGAATAACAGCCAATGGTTTGTAGTTGTTGAGATGCTTCTCCTTGCATCATTTAGATCCGCCTTGGTAGAAGCATTCTTTAAGCCCCGTATCATTTAAATCCTCACTGGATGCCACTCCTCGAGGTGGTCGGTGTTTAACACGAGAACCATAGGTTCTTTCTAGCACGCGTATGGCCCGCGACTCTGCCTACCATAGCGGGGTAGGGTGGGTACGAAAAACTATTTTATAATTGAAAAGCGTTCTCTATAATCCATACACACCTTAATAGCTGTCCCGTTCCTTATATGAAAATAATTTTTAAAAAGAAAACGTTTTTAAAATTAAGGGTATTTTTTAAAAAGTAGGTTTAAAAGGCGTTAAAAAAGTTAAAAAACGTGGTTTTTAAACTTATAACTTTTATATTTATATAACGTTAAATCTTATAATAAATGGGGTTTAAAGTTTTAATAATTAAATTAATAAAATAAAATGGTTAATTTTATTAAATTATTTTTAAACTTTATAACTTTTATTTTAATAATGATATTTTATTATAAAAATTTTATTTAAAAAAATTTTTTTTAAGTAAAATCTAATCAAAATTGATAAGAATGATTTTTAAAAAAGGAACAGTTTTGTTGGAATATAGGGAATAGCCAATTATGTAATCTAGTCACATGCCACCACGTGCGTGGGGTTAAGCTTAAAATGGCTTACCTTTTAAGCTAACCCATACACATATAACATAACAATAGATAATAACAGATCGTGAGAGCCTTATATTGTATCGTATTATGTTTCTTTTTTTAACCCAACCTTATTTATCCGACATTGATTAATAGTTGAAAGATTATAGATTAACAAGGAATCGCTATGAGGGGGATGCAATTTATCCAGATAGTCATCATTACTATTACGATATTTTAAAATCTCCTAACAAGAAGAGACAAGCCTCTCGCAACTCGCACGCTTCTACAGCGTTACAAGTACGACAGCTTCGTGCTAACTCAACGTTTTCAGGGCATATCTAACACGTTAACAAAACGGCGTTTATTACGCACAAAAGATCTATTGCAACTCGCACGCATTCATACGTACAAGTACGATATATCCTTCATTATTAAAATCAACAAACAGACCCTTTTACTAGGCGCGTCTGTTATCAACCACGATAGCCTCGTCCCTACTAACCTAACGATACCACCTAAAATAGCCTTAACCCCTCTCCCAATACCACGATGATAAGAAAAGCGATAACGTGGGACGATTTTATCGACCTAGCCTTTGAAAACGAAGGCTACGACCCGTCCAAACCCCAAAATCGAAGCCTTATAAACACGTACGCTGCCGAATACTTTAAATTATATGAAGGCCGAAACAACCACAATGAGGACCTGTGGGACTTTTTCGTTAATTATTTTAAAGATTGGACAAAGAATATTTCGCCTTATTTGCGAAACCGTTTCGTCGATTTATGGTCCAGTATTTGTACAATTATGGGCTATATTTCAAGGCTCGTACGCATATCAACACCCTGTTTAGGATTTTGAATAGCCCGGAATGCCCTTTATTCCCGACCGAGATAGCCTCATCCCCAGCCTAATAACTCATTACGATATCCGATAGCCCTAGCTAGTAACAGCGAGCCCCAGCCAGCCCAAGCCTTTACGATGTTATTGATTACGATACCATAATATCCCGATATTACGATACCAGATAGCCTTAGCCAGCCCTGGCCCTGGCCTTATGATGAGATACGGTAGATTTAGGGATATTATAAGGTTAGATTTAAGGTTAGATTCGAGGATATTACAGTCCTGATTCGAATCATTACGTTATACGAGAAAAGGAAGGAAAAAGAGAAAATTTGCTAGTGTTTGGAATATGGGGAATAGCTAATTATGTAATTTAGTTACGTGCCATCACGTGCGTGGGGTTAAGCTTAAAATGGCTTACCTTTTAGGCTAACCCATATACATATAACATAACAATAGACAATAACAGATCGTGAGAGCCTTATATCGTATCGTATTATGTTTCCTTTTCTAACCCAACCTTGTTTATCCGATAGGTTTTTTTTTTAAAGGGAACGATTTTATACGTATCGAACGGTAGTAGTAAATTTTTAAAAATTAAGGTTTACTATTCTTAGATTTCAGCTAATAAAAGCTTAGGAATCAAGGGAACGTTCCTTAATAGGGAACCGTTCCCCATAAAGAACAGTTTTTTAAAACCCCCCATTTCCGCTATGGTACATTGCTATTGTAACCGCACATCGCTACGACAAAGCTCCTCACCAAGGACTTCTTAGAGCGAACACCTGAGCATCTAAGAGATGAGATATCGGATGTTGTGGCCAGTTGTGGCAAAACTACCAACGAAATCCATGGGATTCTCTCCTACTACCATCCTCCACTTGGCACAAGGATATTTCGTTGGGTATCTAGTGGAAAAAAGAGCTTGGAAAGGTTGAAAAACAGTCTTAATACACATAGGCTTGCGTTGGGCATGGTATTAGACATAGTCAACTTGAATGCTTGTCGTCTTCGCGTGGGTTGAGTGTATTACTTTAGGTACTCTATATTCATATAGGATTACTATCGGAGACGTTAAGGTATCGGAGACGTTAAGGATAACATGATCGGAATTAAGGATGATACCGTTTATATGAAGAGTACGCTAGCTCACCGACATCCTCCAGTATAGCCAAAAATCCGGCGTTGTTGATTATCTTGCAAGATGATGTCGCCCACATCTTGAGCAGAGTAGAACGAATCAACCGACACCTCTCAGATGACGGTTAAAACGGATGAAGCGGCACAGCAAGCTAGACGAAAAGCCTCTCTGCGACCTGTACCGCCGCGGATGCGAAGAACGCTAAGTGGACGTTCACTAACGAGAAGAACCTCATCGCGTGTTTCCTCCTCTTTTCACGCCTTCGCCTGGGGTGAGAATGCGAATGTAGTCAGCTAACCTAGGCCGTCGCCCATGCAACGGGACCTTGTTTTTATTAATAAAGACATCGTCGCTTAGCGGTGAGAACTGGTGTTCGGCGACCCAATCATGCTTTATAATTTCCATGTTTTGCTTTATTCGCCCGATGGACTATTTATTCTTACAGTTAACATCGGCGTGGCGACTATTGGCTGGCTGGCTGGAGTTGCAATGACAAGACGGGAAATGTTGTTGATTGGGTAAAGTCTCTTAGTAGACGATCTACTCTCTAACGAGTCTAGTCAGTCAAAGGGAGAAGAGAAGTTCTCTTCTCTTCATTCTCTTACTCTACCTCTCTTTATAATAATTACGTCTTATAAATTCGGCGTTACGTCTTGGTTTTAGTCAAAGACTAATATACTAGGTTAGGTTAAGAGATAACTACCTACCGTTATCATTCGATATCTCAACTCGAAAAGAGTGGATAAGAATAATAAGAACAATAAGATACATGACATTATCGTCTATTTATCTCTCACCTTGCCCCTAGGTTAAGTAATTGATGCTCCCGAGGTCACGGATTACGTCTGTCAACACACCAGGCCCATGCATCATTGGACTCTATTAGGTACCTAACTTATAAGTTATAACCATTAGCAATTTCGTGCCATAATAATAATGCCTACCTAATAATACCTACCTAATAATGCCTACCTAATAATACCTACCTAATAATACCTACCTAATAATACCTACCAAATAATACCTACCAAACACCACCGGCTCCCGGTATCAATGCAATGCCAACTCATTCCTCGATACCAATTGGTCTTAGATAATGCTCGCATGCCTAGCAACCTATGATAGAACGGCGAAGACGGGGGGCTCTGCATCGAACATTACCTAGCAAAGGCCTACGCCGGCTTTCGCCATCGTCTTGGCGGGTCGAATTGGCAAATCGGGAGTCTCGGCTGCAATATCATACGCCGTCTTCCACTGCCCGCTGCCCGTCACTGATGCTCATATGCACGGCATCTCATTCGGGTCCTCCTTGTGGCACTAGCCCCGAGTACAACTCGATATCACGGACATTCGCTCAATAAGTTACGGGGTAGATAATCGCCTATTGGTTGTCTAGACTTCATCCCATGACTCCACGAGTTCTTCGATCTGCACGCTTATCTACGCCTTGCCGCTATCCAGGACCCGTGTCTTGCCTTTGATCGTATATGTTACCTGATAAAACCGCACGCTAATATGAATACCTCTAGACAAGTCGAAAAACGTAAAGAGGCGGCAGTCTACGTCCACACCTCCGGAGCAACGTACCCCTATCCATGCTAGTTGAAGAGGATTGGCGACCAGATATCAAAGTCATCAAAGTGGAACTTTCCATCCATACATGTAACAAGGGATAAGAGTATACCTAGTGTGCCTAGGTAAGGTTCTCCCACCTTTATCTTGCCGTGCTTGGGATTTCATATATCGTCCTGTCCAAACTCCTTCAAGCTTTCTCACTTCACATCTCCTTCGAAATGGCTGATGAATACCCCTCATCGATGCCAACTCCAGAGCCAGAGTCGCCTTCGAGTATACCTTTCAACGATGAAACAACCGCGCTCCTGCCAAAGGCGCCTCTGGCTGATGCGCAAACTAATACTCCCCAATACCGGCAATGGCTGGCTGAAATATGGTTCTTGACCAAGGCAGCTATCCCGGTGATATTAGCTTATACGCTCCAAAACAGCCTTCAGACCCTCTCGGTTCTGATCGTAGGCCGCCTCTCCCCAGAAGCATTAGCTACGGCTGCTTTCTGCTATAGTCAGTAAAACCTAAACATCCCATACTATCAAGATAGGTACATATACCTACCTGTCTTTATTAAATACCTACATATGAGATATATCCCATAGATCCGTTATTCCCCTTGACGTATTTTTTTTTTAAAAAAAAAAGTATATAATATCTGACACGCGAAACCCACATGTACAGTGTTTGCAATGGCCACGGGCTGGTTGATCGCGATGGGCGGCACGACAGCGCTCGACACGCTCGCATCGACGAGCTTCACCGGCTCTCAAGACAAGCACGACCTTGGCATCCTGCTGCAACGCGGCATCATAGTGCTGACCGCATTCTACGCCGTCGTGGCCGTAATATGGGGGTTTTCCGGCCCCCTATTCCGAGCCCTCGGCCAGGAAGAATTCATCTGCGTCGAGGGGAGCAAGTTTCTACATATTCTGATTCCGGGAGGCCTGGGATACGTGTGGTTCGAGTCGATGAAGAAGTACTTGCAGGCGCAGGAGATATACAGGCCGGGGACATACGTGCTTCTGATCACGTCGCCGCTCAATGCATTGCTCAACTACCTCTTTATTTATCCTCTCGGTTTGGGCCTCTATGGTGCCCCTCTTGCGACGGGCATATCGTACTGGATTTCGTTCCTGCTCCTCGTCGCATACGCAACCTTCATACACGGCCACGAATGCTGGGGTGGATTCGATTTTCGTCGCGCGGCCTCGAATCTTTGGCCGTTCGCACGCCTGGCCTTCTTAGGAGTTATCCACGTGGGCACGGAGTGGTGGGCTTTTGAGATTGTTGCTCTAGCTGCTGGCAGACTTGGCACCATCACGCTCGCCGCACAGTCCGTCATCATGACGGCCGATCAGGTCATCAACACCATCCCTTTCGGTCTGGGCGTCGCCGCCTCGGCTCGGATAGGCAATCTCCTAGGAGCACGGAAGCCCCGCGATGCAGCACGCGCTGCCCACTGCGCCGCCATCTTATCTACGATTCTGGGTACCGTTATACTCACCATTCTGATGAGCACCAGAAATGTTTTTGGCAGGATCTTTAACGACGATGACCGCGTAGTTCAGCTCGTCGCAGACGTCATGCCTTTTGTCGCGCTGTTCCAGATCGCCGACGGGCTGAACGGGAGTTGCGGCGGTGTACTCCGAGGCATGGGGCGACAATGGATCGGTGCTCTTGTTAATCTACTCAGCTACTACGGCGGCGCGCTACCAGCGGGAATCTACCTTGCTTTCCACGGATGGGGTCTTCAAGGCCTATGGGTTGGACAATGTGTTGCTTTATACCTAGTTGGAATCCTTGAATGGGTGATTGTCGGGTTAAGCAAATGGGACAAGGAGGTTGATAGAGCACTGGATAGACTTGATGCTGACGAGGCTGGGGATAATTACGCCTCTAGAATAGGAGAGGCTACAGTTCCGAGCGAAGTATAAATAAGTCAGGTACACAGGCAAGAAAAAAGCGACACTATATACAAGGGAAGGGTATTCATTTTGAATGTTAGAAGCTTCCAAGAAGCATAACTACCTACCTAACCTAGGTCAAATACCAAACTAAGAAACTATCGTTTCTTTATATTACGGGCGTCCAGTATACCCGAATTGCTATTTCAAGTAACGAATGTCACTATAAAACCAAAACCATGATTATTACAAAACAGAAAAGAATATCGGCTTAAGCGAGAGTTAGCGAAGCTACCCTGTGTACGCTACATAAAAGCCTCGGTATCGTGTTCTTGCGTGGAGGAAGCCTGGCCGTGAATGATGATCCCCCTTGTTCTCGTCAACTTTTCCTTTTGCCCGTGCCTCACGGCAATTATATAAACAGACGAGTATATGCAGTATGGTACAAGAAATGAAATTTTCAAATAACTCCGACGCTCCTGTGCATTAAACTTCTTGCGGGACTCGCGGTCCTAATGGTGAATACTTCTAGTGTGTGCCGTTTTTGCCATTCGTGCTGTCAAACGCCTTGGTTTGCCTTCGTGCAGACCCCGATCTGGGTGGGCTCAGTGCTGCTCCAGCGGCAGTAGTTTCGTCATACTGCTGGTCGACAGCTTCCTCAGCATATTTCCGTGTTTCCTTGGCCCACTGCTCCAGCCGGTGCTTTTCGATATGCTTAAGCAGGTTGCTGTCTTCCCACCTCATCGCCTCCAATACCTTCTCGCGATAACCTTTCTCCATTTTCTCAAATCGCCGGTCAAGGGTTTCCGTATACACCCCAGCGACTTCTGATGGGGACAACCGCCGGTAATTGTTTTTGTCCCCGCCACTTTGCTCTGTTTTTTTCATTAGCACTACTACCGAGTATCATCTTCGTTTTTACTTACGATTCGCATATAGTGTACAGTAGAACTGGAAAAGGTCTGTCTGGCCAAGGACCTCTACGATATCGTTGTCATTCTTGAGTGTAGTGTTATTGAGTTGCGTCCAGTCTTCTCTTAGGAAACATCTCCGCCATATGAGCCGCTCGGCTTGTACACGCTCTGCGCCAGTGAGGCCGTTATAAGCTACGCTAAGAGCCGAGAAAAACTGGTCAGGCATGTGTTCCCGCGTCTCCTGTGGTAGAGTGATTAATGTAAGCAGGTCAATGAGCGTGAGTGGGTCCAGAGCCTCGTGGTTCAAGAGCCGTCGTAATGCGTCGTCAAATATTTGCGAGAATATTTTATACTTCTTAGGTATCTTGAGCGCGAATGTTTCTTGTATAACGCTCAACTCCTCTCCTTCGAGCGCCACGCTGATCACAGGGCGGATTTGAGTATTGTATAGGTCGTCCTGAACACCAATGATGGCGAGTTCTCTATCGATGGCGTCTACCTGAGCATCCTCAGCTGTCCCGTTAACACTCGCATCTTGTATGCTCATAGATGCTTTGCTAGACGGCCGGGATGATTCGGCCATCCTAGCTAGCTTGCCTAAACTCAACTCGATCTTCTTGTTCCAGACCTGCTGCTCGCGCGCCAGGCCAAGGTCGAGAAGCGTGTCAGCGGCATGGTCAATGTCCTCTTCGCCGATGATGTCGTTAATCCAGGAAACTTTGGCCAATTCTGGTTTGGTCCGAAGATACATCGTCTTGAACTTCTTATCCCCGTCGTACTCGAGCAGGGCATCAACTCCGAACGTAGTGAATAGGTACTCGTAGAATGGGAAGGCAAAGTCTTTGCCATATGTTATGAAGTACTCGCGTACTTGCTCTTCTTTCGCAGTCATCTTGGCTTCCAAGCTTTCGAGACGCTCAGGAGACAGGCCAGGTGTCTCAAGTTGGTGTCGAAGTCCGTCGATTTCACGAGTGAGAATCTCCGCGAGTGCAGGAAGAGAATCATGGTTCTCGGCAATCCTGATTCCAGCTTCCCAGTTTTCGGTCTGAGCAAGAAGGACGACCTTGTCATGGCGGTCTTGCTCATAGATGCTTGCGTACTTCTGACCGTCCGCAGCCTTCTTTGGATCGTCGCTGGCGAGGTATGATCGAGATAATTCTTGAACGACAGTTAAGTAGACTTCAGTCATTTGTGGTAAGAGCTCGCGAGTCTTCTGAACCATGACGCCTTGCCCTTCGGAATCTGCTGCCCAGTGTTGCTTAACCCACTCAGTAGACAATTCCACTTGCCTCTTTACATTGTTGGCAATGAAAGGGTGGCAAGTCCAGGGAGTCGGGAGCCCAACATAATTGCTAGCTAAAATCCCGTGGTCCATTTTCTCGCCCGCTAGACCGTAGAGTTGGAGGTTCCTCGTGCGGAATGTGAAGGCATCTCGTATCGCGCTATTGTAAATCTCTGCAGCTTCGTATATTAACCGCGTTAGAGATGCTTGGTCTAAGTTGGCCTTGGAATTGTGTTTTATAACTTCGTAAGCCCATGCGATGAATATTTGCATGCGATCAACATCGCGAATGAACCAGTGACGCAACTCATCGACTTCTCCTTTCGCGACGTTCGGTTCAGACTTTTCCTCGGATCGGATGTACTCGACGATTTCGGCAACGATGCTCTTCTTAGAAGCCGCAGATCGCTGAGTAGTGAACTCCTCGTGCTTGTGCCAGATAACGTTAGCAACATGCAGTTTTTCCGCGTTCCAAAGTAACTGCCATTTCGTAACACGATCGAGGTTCACTTTAAGACTTGCGATCTGTGTCATTATCTTCTCCAAGTACTGCACACGCTCCTTGATGTTGGTGTCAACCCGTGCGGCTAGAGTTGAAAAGTGTTTGCCGGCAGATGTGAGAATTTCTCGGCTCAACTCCAGAGCAGCAGCACCGTATTCCGCATCGGTAAAACGAAGGCCGTGTTGTCTATCGAATACGAGGGGGTTATCCTCCTTGACACCGAAAAATACAGCCTGTTCGAGCTTCGCTTTGGCTGTAACCTCCGGAGGCTTCTCACTTGCGAATCGTTCAACATCTGTTAATGCAATGCGGAGAGCACCTGCACCTCGAACTAGGAGTATAGCGGTGGGATTCTTAGGTCTGATACGAGGCGCTCTCCCTTCGGCAGAACCGAAACCTTGGGTCTTCGGTTCTTCGGTTCCGGAGCCGACAATCTCGAGGGTGGGGTCCGTACGCAGATCGACGACATCCTCGAAAGATGCAGGTATGATGTGGTTGTCCTCAAGTATTTGCGAATCGGGGGAGTCGGGGGGCTGGGCAATCGAGGCTATCACGGCAGCGTGGTCGAAGACAAGAAAAGCAATGATGTTTGGCCGAGGGAGATAAAGTCGAGGTTTAGCAAGAGCCTGCGAATCTGGTGCAGTAGAGTAAGTAGATATCGGTCGAACCATGCCAACGTCAATGGGGGTTTCTGATGAAAACCCAGAGTACAATACAACTTCAATAAGCGTATAACGCCATCCTTGCTTGTTAGAAAGCGAAACAAGGAGCACCAAGTGTTGCTGGTCCTCGGACTCGGAGGGTTCACGAAGCTGGCTCATCTCGCTATATTTTTGCTCCAGGCCCCTGGGTACGAAGCAGAAGTCGAGTATCTTTAGCGACTCTGCAGGTAACTTGGCGCTTACGCTGTCCATCTGCTGGAGAGCTCCGAGTATGGTATTGCGAGCATCTACCTCAACTAGAAGGTCATGGTGGCCTCCCCGATGTACCCTCCAAGAATGTAGGCGACCTTTCGACGTAACAGCAACGACGGTACACTCGCCTTGCTTGGATGACTTTTCTGAACGGACGGCAGCGATATCTCCCTGAGAAGCAGTCTGTGACAGCGCATGTCGGAGACTTCCAAAGAACCCGCTGTTAGCAGGGCCAAGGTTGGTGCGCAAGAACTGTGTCGAGATTTTTGGGCGGCCATGCGTGTCTCGGACGCTCAAGTATGCCAGGCGTCCACTACTAAATGCAAGGATGAAACCAGCGGCGGATTCGGCATGGGTGATCTGAATGACAGCCTCGCCAGAAAACATTCCTGTGATAGAACCTTCAACGCCGTTTTGCTGTTGGCGCATGAAATCCAGTGTCGTCGCGCTCGATATCGATTCCCAGTAGGTCACCTTACCATTAGTAGGCATGACTACTACCAAACCCGGCTCGGAAGAGGAGGCGGACGGAGGGACAAGCGCGCCCAGGGGTAAAAGATCGCTGGAGGACTTTGAGGGATACGGCAACGCGAAGGTAAAGGATTCAGGAGACTGGGCGGGCGCCGCATATGGCCATACGATGGCGTGAGTATGGGAGATGCTTAGGGCATATCCCGTGGAACTGTCGACGGAACCATGCTGACGACCTACACGATAGAGTTAGTGATATAAAGAGTCGACGAATCGACGAATCGACGAATCGACGAGCGGTGAAGAGGTAACATACTGCCAGTGTCTAATTTTAATCGATCAGGTAAAGCTGGGAGTTTCCGGACATCGAACGCGATATTAGTTGACTATAGGGTGAGGGTGTTGACGTGTCAGCCATTTAAACTCAAGGTCGCCGGGAGCTCTTTGCTACTAATTGCTACTATTTGCTACTAAAACTTACTAAAAGCGTGCTACCATCCCCCTTGCTAAGACGTTCGCCTGGCCGAACCTTCTTGGATCGAAAACTGAGTTCCTGCTTCGGTGCAGGCGATTCCTCAATTCCATCTTGCTTCAAATCGACTACCGAAGGCTTCGCGGACTTGACTTCGTACGTCTCAGGAGTAGCAATAGGATTCGCAAATGTTTGATCGTTCAATGGTATTTTCGGTCGCTTCGCTTTAGGTTGCTGCACCGAGTTATCTGAGCTCACGGGTCGTTGACGTCGTCGGCCACGGGTTGCCGTAACGGCAGGCGACGGGTTTTCAGCGCCGTTGACGGTAGCCGAAAACATGATGTAACAATTCTGCAGTATTGAGTCCTTAGGATGAGCAGCAGGATCGAAACAAGGATGCAATCGAATACTTTTAGCGATGAGGAAAACCGTTATTATCGATGGATCGATTGATGTAGAAAATACGTGCTCATCGTGAGGAGACGGAAGAAGTCGTGGGCGTGGGCGGTGGGTGTGGGCGTGGATAAAATGTTGGAGAAGGAGTGAGGTGTGAAGGTGTAAGAAAAAAAAAGATGAAGATTGAATGGTGAAGGCCTTCGTTTCGTGAAAGAATGACGAGGCCGACAAATGTTTGGCTACGGTTGATTGGGCCGCTGCTTCACCTTGGCTGGGTACCTGTAGGGACGGGAGAAAAAAAAACACATACACTGGAATTAGGTTAGCTGGAGCTACGTAGCTCTGGCATTTACCAGTAACTTTTTAAGGTGTTAGGTTAGGTGCTACGTAAGGTACATGCAATTTGTATGTATTATCAATACAAATCAGAGGTTCAATACGTACAGGCGCGGCTGAAGCTAGACCGTTTTAGAAACTTCAAGACCCCTGTGCTTGCCGGTTGTGGACGAACAGGGACGGATCAAAATGCTTTGCTACCGTCATATGGCTCGTGCGCTGGCAACTTAGCACGGGCCAAGCAACCAATCGCAAGGACTTAACAAATCCGGGGCAACCTCTAACCTAATGTTTAAGCCTCGACTTTAACAACAACCTCAACCCTCGACATATTTCTAATTTATTTCCTACTGTTCCGTAATCTAACTTCATGCAACTCTTCTCAACGTAAAGTTATTCTAGTCGTCGACTATCGTCACGATTTATTCATAACATTCCAACACACTCACGAATATATCAAGGATAACAAAGATTGGTTGTCCCTAACTACTATTTATTCGTTTGCCTCTTTCGGAAAGTGAATATTGCAAGTTTGTCCTTTCGAAACTTCGAAATGCTTATCACCTCCATATTTGCTAAAATATATTAAGAAATCTAGCAACGTGGATACCTCTACTAGGTGCTTAACACTGATGCTGTACTCTACTGGGGGATTAGACTTTTCACTTTTTATGTGTAATTCCTAATCCCTCCATGGTAGCCAGGTAATCCTGGGGAGCACCCCTAGCAACTATATCAGCTTAGGGTACATATCGTGCCTGTCATCTGAAAGGGGTACTGGCATCATTTAATAACTCGAGATGAGACGAAGCATCAGTTCAGTCACGATTACAGATCCCCTGGTGAAGTATCAGTCACTACTAGCGACTGGGGTCTGTTCCCCCGATGCTGCTCAGCATCGATTAGCAATTCATCTTCAAAAGGTCTATCATCGGCTCAAGGATTATTCACCATCACATGAGTACCGCGTTAGATTAAAAGCCATTACAAATGCCCTGGACAGTGCTAGAAAGGAAGATAAAGACCCGTCGCGTACTCTCGCAGTCGAGAGCCATCCTATCTGGCGCAATCCCCTTTTTTCTCGATTCTTCGCTCGCAATGAGAGTAAGGATGCCCTGGCTCTTATAAAAGTTCTCACGAGCCATGAAGAGGCGATTCAAATAGATTCGCCGCAAGGCTTATTCCTATCAGGTGAAGTTGGCACTGGCAAGTCAATGCTACTTGACCTCCTGGCTGACGGGTTACCGACGAGCCGCAAAAGACGATGGCATTTTAATACTTTCATGCTTTATACCTTGTCCCAGCTTGAGCGTTATCGGAAGTCACATTCACATCTAGACCGTGGTGACCAGGAATATTCGTTACTATGGATGGCTAAGGATATGGTTGAGAAATCACCGATTCTTTTTCTGGATGAGTTTCAACTCCCGGATAGAGCGGCAAGCAAAATACTCAGTAATCTGTTCATTGCATTCTTTCAACTAGGTGGCGTCCTCGTTGCTTCGTCAAATCGTATGCCAGACGAGCTAGAAAAAGCTACCGGAGTCGAATACGTTCCTCCTACAACTAGCAGTCTCATAGGTCAAGTCTTGGGGCTGAGGCAGACTCGTGGAAGAGGGGAACTCTTCGGTTCTACTAGTGATTTTGCATCATTTCTTGAAGTTTTGAAAGCAAGATGCGAATTCTGGCAGATGGAAGGAGGCAAAGACTGGAGGCGCCGTGAGGCTAGCGAGTTGCTGAGCCAGCGTGTTAAGGCCCCTATTGAGAATTATATATCTGACGAATCAGCAATGACTTCCACCACAGTACTTTCATCCAATGCAAAGACTCAAGATACAGGCGAATCAAATATATCCGTCGCAGCGCCAAGGAATTATTTCCTCATAGGTGAGACAGATGAAGCTCTGTGGATGGAAACATTAAACCGCTTGGTTTTGCCACCTGAAAAGCACGAAATACCTTGGGAGTCCTTAACAGTGACCGTTTATGGTCGGGCCATCACTATCCCTCAGCATTACGGAGGGTCTGTTTTATGGGACTTTAAGGACCTCGTCTCTTCCTTCGGACCAGCCGATTATATTACGATGGCCTCAACTTTTCATACCTTCATCATCGATGGCGTGCCTATCTTAACGATCCTTAAAAAGAACGAGGCAAGGAGACTCATCACGTTATTGGACGCATTGTATGAAGCCAGGTGTAAATTAGTTATCCGGGCCGAAGCCGCTCCTGATGATCTATTCTTCCCGGAAGCGAAGGTTGTCCCCTCACCCGTGAAACGGGATGCTTCTAAAGGAAGCGAGAGTATTGACGGAGACGTAATACACTCCGAGACGGTTGCCGAGGTTTACCAGGATACAATGTCGCCTTTCAGGCCAAATATCTCGTCATACACCGACTCAAGAAATACGGACTATGATCCGGATCAGGATTCCGACTTTGGTGTAGAGCAAAAGTCCAAAGTAGACTTCAGTAACACTAGTGCGTTTACTGGAGAGGATGAACGATTCGCCTACAAGCGAGCCACGAGTCGGCTCTGGGAACTTTGCGGAGCTCAATGGCATAGCCGCACAGGGGACAACTGGTGGCAGCCACTTCCTCCAGAAGCACGGCATTGGGAAGGTTCGCCAGTTTCGAAGCCACGGTCGTGGTCAGCCTCGCCGACTGTCCGAGGGGATGATGCTAGCATGGGACCATCAGTAGAGCTCGAAGAACCTGCAGGTCTACAACGGCTACGGGTCGAATATTTAAAGAAGACCTTCTCGGGAGAGGGCCAGGCGAAAAGTCGCGACCAGGAGTAGGGATCTAATCCATAGAATTGTGTATATCATGTATATCATGTCTAGATAGAGCACGTATATAAATGCGCAACACCGTATAAACGAAATACCAAATATCATTCCACCACGAACGCCTAGACTCCATGCTCCATGCCAGCCCATAACGCCACTATACATGCATGCGCATTCGAGCAGTCACGCTCTCCCAAACCCAAACTCGCCCTTCATCTTCCCCCTTCCCCTTCTCCCCTATGTATACCCTTCCACCCAACTACAAACTCATCAGCCCCGGCGCCCACCCCTCCCCAATCCGCCTCATCTCGTCCGCAAACTTCCGACTCGTAATCCTCTTGCCCCCCACGCCGCCGCCCAGCGGCAACACCAGCGGCGCATGCTCGTCCGGGTCGTAAAACGGATTCTGCAGCAGCCGAACATAGGCAGTCTGCATGGCGCGAAACACGACGCGCAGCTCCGTGTCCCTCAGCCCAACGCCGCCCCTGACGACCCCCGCGGCGCTGCTTCCGGCCACGCGGCCCCGCATGTCGACTACGGCGACGAACTTGACGCCCGTGTTCGTCTCGAAGCCGTACGCGGCCAGGCGCTCGTCCACGGCGTGCAGGAGGCCGAAATCGCCGGTGAGATTGGGGGTTGGGGTGGTGGTGGCTGCGGCGGCGGTGGGGGCACCGGCTGTGGGTGCGGCGCCGGCGCGGCGGGCGCGCGTTTCGAAGATGTCGAGGGTGCTGCTGAGGAGGAGGGAGAATTGCAGGGGCGTGCGCAGGGGGGCGCGGGTGTTGCTCGCGGGGTCGTAGGAGGGGAATATGGTTATGTGGAGGGGGTTGTTCTAGTTGCGGTTTGATGTTAGCGAGGAGTGATGGTGGTCGGAGTGGTTTGGGCGGTTTCGCGGAGTGGAAATGGGTGAGTGAGGTTGCACGTATAGTTTAGGATAGAGGGAAGGTAGGGAGGAAAATAATAAACGAACGTACATTTCGCCCTATAACACCTAGGCAGGCTATAGAGGGTATTGCGGTCGCCATCGCTACATGTGCTGCCGGTTTTGCGCTGCTGTGTATACGCTGGGATTGAGAAGGTGGAAAGATGTAAAGATGGTTGAGTGCTTGGGTTTGGTGAAGTTGAGCTATCGATAATGAGCTTGAGGTTGCCCCACTATTTGGTCTTTAGTGAATCAAAGGGGGACATAACACCTTCAGGGGTATAACCACTAAATATACATTGTAGCAGAGATATAAATATAAATGTTTATTATTCGAGTAGCATCTATCATCTTACAGACGTCTGTACGCAAATTTATCTAGCATGATATCTAAGTACCTACAATGTAATAGCATATAGTTGTTTTAAAAGGCCCGATGAACCTTGAGAGATCTAAAACTACCTCCTCCCATCATGAAATATCATCTATAAGACACCATAGGGGGGGGAAAGGGGGGTTGGCATCTTGTCCCACGTAGTATCATGTAGACGGTACTCTTCCTACTCTTCTTCCTCTTGTAATGACTCAGTCTTTTCTAACCCTTTCAAAACATCTTCGATCTCGACTGGGTCGGTAATAGCCCAGACACCACCCCCTTTAACCGAGTCCATCCCGCGCATGCCCACCTCCTTTCCTACAAGGTTCCTGCCAACTTTTCCAGGCCCAATACCGATCCACCTTCTAACTTTCTGCTCTTGATCCAGATACTTGATGCTGTCCCACCATCTGACAGTTTCGAGGCATTGTCGCGCCAGTAGGTCTTTCACATCCGCGGCGTCTTCGAATGGCCGCGCACTCACGTTGCTTACACATTGTAGTCGACCCGGAAAGGTGATGACATCCTTATCTTCGCGGCCCTTTGCTTTACTCTTCCTCGAGACTAGTTCTCGCACCACGTTGACTGCCGGCCTCATGATTGGACTGTGGAATGGACTGTCGCTATTTAATCGAACCGCTCTAGGGTCGTGGCCAAGGAATTGTCGGACATGAGCTGTCAGTTCCTTGATCCTTTGTATATTCCCGCTCAACACAATCTGATTCTTGCTGTTGATATTTGCGATAAGTACCTGGTCGATGGGCTTCATGGAGTCGGCGCTCTCACTCCTCGCGCCAGCACTGCGGTATCCCACGAAGTCGTCTATAGCCTCGATCAGTTGCGTTAAATACTCGGGCTCCGTAACGACAGCCACCATGCCATATTCTCCTCCGTATTTTTCTTTAGCCTTCTGGGTAGCCTCCGCCATAGCCTCCGCGCGTTTGCGCACCATATATAAAGCGTCTTCGAATTCTAATACACCTCCTGCCACTAACGCTGCGAATTCGCCTAGTGAATGTCCGAGCGATACATCCACTCGCTTAGATATATCAAAGTTGAATTCGTTCTCGAGGATGCGGAGAATGAAGATGGAGGTTGCCATGATCGCCGGCTGGGCGTTGGGCGTTGCGGTTAGTACTCGGCTTGGGCCATTTTGTATTATGTCTGATAGCTTGTATCCCATATAACTATCAATCTCATCGATTATATGTGCGGCTCTGGCTGGGAAGGCTTCGATCCAGGGCGTAAGCATTCCGACTTTCTGGACTCCTTGGCCTATAATATAGCAGAACTAATTAGTTTAGTTCTCGGGGGGTTCCATTGAAATCCTGACCTGGAAAGAAGATAGCAGTCCGCGGTCTCTTTCCTTTTATTGATGCATAGCTTCGACGGCTAATTGGACCGATGGGGTATACCGCCGCACCGAGGAAATCAGTTGAGCTGAACCGGCGATATACCCAATCCGCGGCGCGGATGGGCCGGCGCAACGGGGAAATGAACACACTCATCACCGCAGGCCAGCTATGTTTGCGCTGCGGCGATCAATTCTCACGGTCATCGAATGTGGAACTTGGCTAAGCCGTTGAGCAAGAAGATAAGATAGGTAGTAATTGGTGCAAAAGGAGATTCAGGTTAAAGGAGTGAAAGAGTAAAAGTTCAGAAGTTGTAAGGTTGAAGTTTCGATTGATGACTCTAGTTGTTGAAGTATTGAGGTACATACCTCAGGTACCTACTAGGTACAGCTACCTCGGCCCTTGTTCGACAAGTTGATGCTAAGCTGCCCGCAATTGCCAAGGTCTCTCCCCCACATTCTTCCCCGGATCTAGCTCAGTATATGTACTATGTATCTACAGGCACTTTATGTACATAGGTAGGTACCTAATGTACCTAAGGTTATATTATGTACATTCGAAGATATCCGTTAAACCAATCTCAAGGTAATAGTATTTGTGTTACTTGTTCGTCCTTCACTTATTTAGAGCTTTGCTAAAGTCCGGTTTGATATCGAGAGGACGGAGATAATCATTCAATAGTAGTACCCAGCTTGACGCCTTGCTGATCCATGCGTAGTGATATCTTATAGCTCCTCAGCATGCACACCAAAACGCCGATCATGCAATCATGCAGTACATTGCTGGAGCATTGCTGGAGCATTACTGGATAGTGCAATTCCAAATGTAACCGTCCATATGCCCTACGTACCCTTTAACACCTGGTCTCGACTCCCCCCTTGCTAATGGTAAGATACTTCACACCCTTATACGGTTTTATTCCTTCGCCCAGACCTCGACTCTTTCTCGGGTCAATGAGGATGCTCTCGACCTTAATTCCACTTGATAACCACCCCTTGACAGAGAAGCTAACAGACGCAGAGCTCGGCATAAGGATCTTGTTCTGGGCAATTCTTTTTGCTTCCTTTTCGCTGTCCGAGCTTCCTTCGCCATTTTTGGGCTTCTCGTTGGCATTGCTTTGATATGGCTCGTCGTAAGTATAGTCCTTGCCGAAACCGAACCCATTAGAATCGGCATCTTCTTGATCTTCAGATAATGGACCCTGGACTGAGCATCGAAGGCCATAGTAAGATGTCCCGGTAGAAAGCTCCTTTGTGGGTATATGCCATTCCAATACCCTATCTCCTGCACTAAAACTAGCGTCTCCTTTACTCGGTCGAATATCTGAAAGGTTCCTAACTTCGGAAGGTAGCGGTACTGAGACGATAAGGTCTTGTAATAATGGCGCGCCGGCTGAGCCTGGGTGTGGTCCTCCGAACCCTCTGCTACCCGAACCGCCACCTCTACCAGATGACCCTGATATTGAAGAACTAGAAGATCCAAAGTTCTTGTTGATGATGAGCCGAACTTCGAAGTCTGAACCGGTTGATCCCAACCCGGTTTTAACCTCGATATTTACTGGAAGTCTTAGGCTGTTCGAACCCAAATTCCCGCTCTTTCCATTGGTGAAAGGTAGTAGGTCCACTTCATAGCCTGCGAGGATGAAGCGTCCATCAGGGGGTATGAAGCTGAGTTCTCCTGGGTTCTCCTTCCATCTGCTTAATCGTACACATGGGTGGAATACTGGTAATTCCATAACGCTGTTTAGGTTATGTTTTCCTGAGGGCCCAGTGATATTTATGAGGATATCTGGAACTCCAGATACCTTAGACGTAAATGCAATAGTACCATTCGCATATGCAGCGATTGGCCTACCAGATGGTGCAAGAGTGACAGACAACGTCTCTACAATATCGGCGTACATCTCATTTGACGTATGTCGCACATTTGCTCGCCTCCAGGGGAGAGCCGGCGCAGTTTGAGATATAAGGGACGGTGCGTTGGAGTTACTAGGGGATTTGCCAGGCAGATTAATGCTACCTAATAGCTTCCCTAGTAGACCTTCTACTTCGACCACATCCCTCAACGCGTTCGGCTCTGTAGTATTAACAGCGCCGGCATCGCACATCTCAGTAAGAAGTTGAGCAACGACATCGTAATTTGCTTCGATCTTATGCGCTAGGACCGGCGCGCCGAGGAACTCTTCGAGAGCGTCGATTATGCGATGGAGGAACTCGAGGACGAGAAGAGGCTCTATCTCAGAAGAAGAGGTGGCCAAGTAAAGTATATTTGCATGTATAAGACTAAATACAAGGGTTGGAGGGTTGGTATTTGGTAGGTATATTAAGTTGGGTCTCGGAGCCGGATGTTCGAGATACAGGGGAAGAAGGACGGCGGCCGAAAGAGGGCGTGATGTATAGATATGAGAGAGTATCGCACGACTATACGGTCATTGTCAGTTTCGAAGGAGTTTAGAATATAATATTTTAAGGAGAGGAAGGGCTGACTTATGCTCATCGTAGATGTGCAGCGCCTCTATTACGCCGTTCATGTTGGCTGGGTTGCTATGCACATCATTAGATCTAGAAGATAGGTACCTAGGTAGGTAGAAAATGAGGCTAAATATTTCAAGGTACAGCTAAGAGAGAGATACTGTGATGCCGTCAGAGGGTCCAAGACTAAATTGTGGGACACTAAATTATGGGACAACTCTTTAACTTAATATTTATCGATAAGCACCGTAGCGTGTGGGGGTCCTTGCTTCATCCTAGAACTACATAGTAGGAAAGTTTTTCTGAACCGGTCAATTTTTCTGGATTCGCCGAACCATTGATTAAAAAAAAAGTCCAGTATTTATATTCATCCTCCCCTCTTCGCTAGAGTAACAAGCAATGGCGGGGCCTGCAAGCACCACGTCTTCCATGACCTCAACTTCACATACTTTAACACATGCGCCATCAGTAGGATTTCTATCTTCTTTTGTCGACTCCTCAAAACCATCTAGCGCCGTAGAGATGCTAGAACTTTTTGAGGCTATCAAGTCCGGCAACCGGCATAGCTTCCTACAACCAGCCTCTACAATCCCGAATGCTTCGCTGCAGCTTGCGAAGGCTACGCTAGATGCATATGCCGGGCAAATATGCGACGAACAACAGCAGCGCCAAAGGGAAGAGAGCAAGAAGCGGAAACGAGCTGAGAACGGGCTAGGCAAAGGCGAAATACTAAAGATCAGGAAGCTTCACGTTGATGGGTTCGAAAGTAGCCAAGTTTGGCAACAGGCAAGAAGAATTATCACAAGCGCACTGCAGGATTCGAAAAGTGCACTCCAAGAATTAGAAGACCAGAAGAAGATACAGGTGAACGGCATCAACGGAAATGCGCATATCGATATCGACGAACCGGCTAAGGACATCTCCGACGATGATTCGGTTGACGGCGAGTCTGCCTCAGAGCTCGAAGATTCGGAAGGACTTATAGAAGATGATGAGGAAGATGATGAGGAAGATATCGAGGACGATTCCGAATTATCAGATAATGATATAGAGGGGGGTCTAGAAGACATCGATGAGGAAGATGAGGTCGACGATGAAGATGAGCCTGAAGAGTTCTCACAGGAGCTGGTTGAAGATCCTAATGGTCTTAACGATGGTTTCTTTTCCATTGATGAATTCAACAAACAGACCCAATTGTTTGAGGATGCCGATGCCCGAGGAGACCCGGACGTTGACCATGCAAGTGATGACGACGAAGTAGATTGGCACGCCGACCCGCGCTCTATAAAGCCATCCAGTAACGGAAAGAAACCCAAAAAACCTACTGATGACGTCGATGACGAGATACTTTCTGATATCGAAGACGATGAGGAAGATGGAGGACCGACCTTCGGTAACATGGATCTAGATGCGCCAGAAGGAGAGAGCGAAGAAGAAGGAGACGAAATAGATGGTGAAGATGATTCAAACGCTAATGAGATCTATTACAAAGATTTCTTCGCTCCCCCGCAGCGGAAGGGGGCTAAAAACAGCAAAGCCAAGCAGTTCAGGGAGCCTCGGCCGACCAAACCTGATGACAACGACGTTGATCGAGCAATGGCCGATGTCCGGCGAGATTTGTTCGAAGACGAATCAGAGAGAGAAGATTCGGAAGATGCTCTTTCTGACGCTTCTGCGGGTGACCCTAAATCCAGGAAATCGGCACACGAAAGGCGACAAGCCAAGCTAGCAGAAGAGATTCGGCAGCTTGAGGCTGCAAATGTAGCTAAGAGGCAATGGGCAATGTCTGGAGAAGCTAAAGCTGCTGATCGGCCGATGAACTCTCTGTTAGGGGAGGATCTCGACTTTGAGCACGTGGGTAAGCCTGTGCCGGTCATTACGGCTGAAGTGAGCGAGAGTATCGAGGATATGATTAAACGTCGTATTCTAGCCCAAGAATTTGACGAAGTTGCTAAACGACGTCCTGATGCCTCCGAGTTCTCGTCCAACACTAGACGAGGACTTGTCGATCTAGACGACACCAAAGCTAAGCAGTCACTTGCGGAGATCTACGAGGAGGAGCACGTCAAGAACACAAACCCAGACTCTTACGTGAGCAAGGCTGACGAGAAACTGGGAAAAGAGGAGAAGGAAATTGAGCAGATGTGGAAGGAAGTTAGCGCGAGCCTTGATGCTCTCACTAGCTGGCACTACAAACCCAAGCCCGCTGCACCCTCACTCACGGTCGTATCGGATGTGGCAACAATCAGCATGGAAGACGCTCAACCTACGACCTCTCAGGGCGTCAGCGGTGGTGACCATACTTTGGCCCCGCAAGAAATCTACAAGGCTGGCAAGGACACTGCTGAAAAGGGTGAGGTGGTTGCCAAGAGTGGTCTACCTGTTGCTAAGGAAGAGATGAGTAGAGAGGACAAGGTTAGAAGACGCAGGAGAGAGAAGGAGAGGATACGAAAGGCTGGCGGTCTCGAAGACAAGAAACCTAAGAGCGCGAAGGCTCAGGCGCAGAAGCAGACTCTTGGTGATCTCAAGCTGGGCGGTGTTAAAGTCATCAATAAGAAGGGCGAGATTGTGGATATGGAAGGTAATAAGGCAAAGGCGGCTAAGGCTGTGTCGAGTAGTAGTTTCAAGCTTTGATACTAGCTTTGTGAAGATTAATTAAAATTGGATTTAAACTTCTATATAATTATTGATTTAACATTGAACTATGTTAATATACTAGGTTAGGTTAGGTTAATAGGTATCTTGATGAAAGGCCGTCATATCCCCGATTTTACGGCTCCGGAGGTGATTATGTACAAGTCGGTCCAGACGGAAGCTTAGCGGGGCTCTGAAGGTGCACGGTCCAATTCACCTTCAGCTGCATTTTACGAAGTAGCAACTTTCAAAAAAAGATCGCCATTATCAAAGGGTTTACAATAATTCCTCCCGTCTACCCTCAGCGCGCTAAAGTTGCGCTCTACTTTTAGCCATGAGTAGGGACAATGTGCCGTCGATCGGCACCCTCGACAGGCCCGAGGACCTGAAAGACTTACTGAAACAGGATCGGGGCGAAGATTGCCTCCCGTGCAGAGTCGTAGGTCAGTCAGCGCATTCTTACGGTGTACCTGACAGACAAACAGACAAACATACATACAGACAACTACACCGAACCCCACGTGCTGACGTGCAGCTATAGGAGGCGGTGCGTTTATCAGCCTAGCGGCTTATAGCTACTTTTCCGGCCAGCGAGAACTCGAGAAGAACCGGGCGCAGATCATAGCGAGGAAATCGATGTTCGGTATGCGCAGTCGGAGATTCGGTATCGCGGCTACGTCGTTGGGGTTGGCCTGGTTGGGGGTCTGGAGGTTGTTTTTATAGGGGAGGGGAGGGGAGGGGGGCATGATGATGGGTTAGTTAAGATGTCGTGTATAGTCCGCGGGACGCAAGATACCAGGACGAAAACCGAACCACTCCACTCTTATACAGCACAGCACAGCACAACACGACTTCGCGACGAGAGCCCGGCGCAGCGACCTTGTTGTTTGCGCTAGCCCTACGGCTTACTGGAAAGATCGCGCTTTGGGGTTGTCAGGTCAAGCAGATGTAGTGTTACTGGAAGGACGATGCTAATGTCAGTCGGTTGCACGATGCGAGTCTCGACATGATCTTGGGCACGAGGGTCATCATAGATAAGATTCCCCGCTCGCCGTATTGTGGAAATGTGGGCTATGTCATAGGTATGAATTTTATATTAGAAGACTTGTCGCATATGAGTTGACTCGTCACTGGAATCTAATACTTTTAAGACAACAAGTTGGTAGCTTTACAGACATGATAATAAAATATCATATATCGATACAAGCTAATTACTTATACAGTAGCTATATCCTAATCAATGCTAATTATATTAGATTCTCGCAGCATCTCTTTACACCCGCTCTTCGAAATACCTTTTATAAGAACAGCCTCGTATAGGAAGTGAGGCAAGTCGATACCCGAGGCGTTATCAACGGCTGTTTACAACATGTAAAGTAAAGTTGAAATCTCTAGGTTATGCATTTCCCACGTGGTCTGCGATGTGGCGCTGGCCGGCGCCGCTCCCTGCCGTTTCTTTAGATATCTTTTATAAATTCGTTAAATTTGGTGGCTGATAGCTGAAAAGGGGTTGGCGATAGGTTGTACGAAATAAATGAATAAATGATGAAAGTTGGGTCTGACTTGGATCACAGCAGTAATAAACAGAGGATTATCTCTTATTATCAGGTAGTTATCGTGGCCTTAGAAACCTAGGTAAGGTAGGTAGGTACAAGATACCCAATACCTAATCGCGAAAAACACATAGAAACATTCGCCTTATCTAACGCGTAAGCTTTAAAAGAGATCAGACTGGAGCTCTGGAACTATGCATGTACCGAACCCCTTTCTTGCAGCCAATTCTATCAGCTCAATTCCGCTTTGGGCAATGGCAAGTCCCTTTTTTTCTTCGTTCCTGATCTAAAGAAGAAAAGGGGAGGGTCCTTAGGTGCATTTTTCATAGGCTGATAGGAAACAACCCCACAGAATATGTTCATGCAGGTGTACATAAAAGTGGCTGGCCACCCACTAAGACCTACATATACGTAGTAAGGGCTTAGCTGCATAAACAAAGGTGTCCTTGAAGTCGAGGGATTAGCTAACGGATAAGATACGGGATACTGCAAAGCGCTGTAAGCGTTGTTGTAACACGGTAACACGGTAGCATGGTAACACGGTAACGCCGAAATGTTTAGTTTCTGGTGCCTTGTTAGCGTATATTACTGGACAAGTTGAAACATGCGGCATGAGATGAAAACAGATGAAAATACGGGTGTAAATACTTTACTTAAAACCGAGCTTGAAGCACGGACACCGGTACCAAATTCAATTCAAATTTGTTAATGGAGACGAACAAAGCAGGATTGTCCTTCATCCTTCGTCAATCACCATTCACCCGGCAACCATCTCGCTTTGATGACTTTATACGGTCAACAACCCTAGAAAGATTAGACGAAGCTTGCGGGAGATATAATGACGGCCCGTCAGTGGCAATAAGGCAATAAGGCAATCCCGAGAAACAAAAAAAAAAGAGAATAAGAAAACAACCAAGACAACCAAGACAACCAAGACAACCGTTATCATGTCCCCCGCAGATCTCTCTCATCAAATAAGAAGAATAAATAAATCTCCGAGCTTACATATGATACTGGGTGGGTTTCTCCGTATTGTTCGATCTTCAACGTTTCCTCTTGATACACACACTCGTCTCATTGGTACTATGTATGTCCATACATATTCCCACTCTTTTTTCTCCTCCCTTATCTAGACTCACGTATGCAATGACGAGTCTTAACACAACACGTAAAAACGTCTCTTTGCAAATTAAATGCGGTGAATACCGATCGAACCAAATTTAATATAAAATGAAGATGTATTTCTTTTAGTATGATAATAACATACCTACCTATATATGCCATGCGTAAGCTTGTAATACGACTGACACACATGTGCATCTGCATGAGGTTATAATTATATCATATATTGATACAAGACTGTGAGATAGGTGGTGATGTTCAAATGAGAACAAAGCAATTAAGGGGTTCTGTACCAAGTATCATCCCGCCATTGACGTGCCGTAGACTGGTCTTGCCAAGTGTCTGCCAGCAGGATGTACTACTAGATGTACTGCTAGTAGCATCGGTACCTGCCTACCTTGCCACCTTTGTGTGTTAAAGTGTGTACAAAGTACGAAGTACGTATTGTTAATAAAAGTGGACTCCCATCTGTGTTATGTTCAATCAGTGGACGGTGGCCCGACCAGTCCCTGACAGGGCCAACCTTAACAGGCCAACTTTAATACACTAACCTAGGGAACATCCAAGACAGCCAACTTTGATGAACCGCGGAAGGGAACTGTGCCTTCCACCTTACCTACCTACCTTACCTTACGGTAGTAATCGCACGAAATTGTACCTACCTAACGGGTCTGATACCTTTAATTCCTAGGATAGGTAGTTTTGGAGGCGACTAAAAACTCACTTGACCGGTACGGGAAAACGCTGTGGATCAGCCCCGTTCGACCTCTTATTTTCTTTCCCTTAATGAAAACAATCCACCAACCCTTTTCGTGAACCTAATTCTATTCGATAGTAGTTACAGTCGGTCAAACCACAGCACCAGCACCAGCCCATCGTATTTTTCTTCTTCTTTCTTTGCACGGGCGACTTTGTCGTCTACTTGTTAGTCTTGCCTTTTGCATCCCGGAATGCGGTAGCAGTATTGCCGCCCTCAGGTCCTTAGCCGGACTGAGATTGATCGCGAGTCTCCAGGTTCAGATCTGGGTCGAGTTAGGGGATTATATCAGCTTTCGCTTTGGCCGCTTAGAGATCATAGCGAACACTATCCGTCGCGACTTTCGTTAAACTCGTCGATTATACTACTACTACCGTTCCGATCACCAATTCTCGTCACGATACTTGACTGTGTTACTCCTTATGATTAGGGATCATAAGGCTCCTGCTGGCCCGAGACCAGCTGCGCAGTCCCCGACTCGATCGTGCGTTTTTCCCACTCACCTCGCGTCTCACGCTACAATAAGAAAAGAAACACGGCGTGGCTGTTTGTTTCTGTAATGTGTAATGTTTACTAACCCACCTTGTTTCTTTTCAGGGCCAAGGAGAACCTCAACCCTATAAACAGAATCGATAACGAACCAATGCTTCACGCATCATCGTCCAACAATCATTCACTCTTCTCCTTCGGTCGGAATGGGGCTCCAAGCGACGTAGGAGACAATACCGCCAGCTCTTTCGAGTTCCTACCCTCCGTCAGTTTCGATGATCTCCAGAGCAGCATCGAGTCAGCCTCCAACGATTTTAAACTGACACATTTTCCTTCGCCATCTGGCCAAGGATCCATTCTCGACGAGGAATCTTCAGACAGAATGGTCAGGCAGTCTTCAGGTACCAGCCTAAATGGCGCAACGACCCGTACGGGAGCTCAACCAAACCCTACTCCCAATGCAGCAGCCACCAGACCGGGGAGATCTGGTTCAATACTGAGAAGGCCTAGCACGTCAAATCGCCAGGTTAGCGGCAGCTCTACCGTGTCTGCATCTTCCGCCATCGTCGATGCGCCGACTGCGCCTGCTGCAATGAGAAATAGGCGCCAGAACCATTATCCTCCTGTTTCCAGCACTAATGTTGGTAAGCAGCCGAGGAAGTCGATTGGACCTGGTGTTATCGAGTCGGATTTTGGGACCAGAGTACAGAAACGAAGGCCAAGCCTGATATCAGATGGATCAGAAAGAGGTGTAGTGGGTTCAGCTCGGACCTCGATTGATATTTCAGGGCAGTCCAGTGATGGAACGAGGGCCTATGCAAACACACGAGCTACGAAGGCTCGTTCGGTTCAACCCGCACCAAGAATATCGGCCAACGTTTCTGGAACTGGAAGTGCTAGTACCGGTAGTGGTCTTGCTCCAGATCAGAGCCGTGTTTCGGCAGCGTTTCCTAGGTCACCAAGAGCAGCTGGTAAAGGCTCTACACCTAATTCTGCGAGAAGAATGTCTGTAATGCCTGGAACCCATGGTTCTCACGTAACCGGTCTAGGTGCCAGAACTATCTCGCCAACTGATGCACAACGTATGAAGCGCATGTCGATCCATCCCACCCAGAACGTACCACAAATTACAAACGCCCCGCCGCCACCTATCGAAGTTCGCCCTAACTCACGCTCGCCGTCCATGATTCCTCGAAAGACATCCACACCTTCATCCTTAAGGACGACACCGGAGCTTACTAATAGAAAATCTTACAGTTCAGGATTGTCTGTTGCCTCAGTGAACAGTTTCAATACCCACCGGACTTCAACTGGTTCTATTCAGCGGACCTTCCCGCAAGTCGGTCCGGCGTCGAGATTACCTGCTCCTAAAACGCTGAATGCACATAACCCTCCTGCAGGTGAAGAGGAGGAGGATGTGCCTCCTGTACCTGCAATTCCGAAGGTTTACGAGTCACCCAAGGATTCGCCAGCTGAGATCTCTTTCCTCGAGAAAAGAAAATCGACATATACGTTAGATTCGAGTAGCGTTCATAGCACCTCTACCGGAACCCCCTCAGGTACTCCGTCACAAGAACCGATAAAGAAATATCAACGTAAAACCGGTACTCGAAAGCATGCCCCGCGGAAGACACTTGCAGGTCCGGATATTGAACAGAAGATTGGCATAAGTCAGTCGAAAAAGAGTCTACAGCCCCTACGACTTCCGCCGCTCACTCTTGGGCCATTAAGTATAAACGAAGCAAAGATCACAGCTTTACGAGACCAAGGCGAAGATGATGGTAAATACAGTCCTCCCCTCTCGCGAACGATTCCCAAGACGCCCACTACGCCAATGACAGCGTCGAGGAGCACATTCTTCTCTAGAGGTCGTACGGATAAAGAATCTGAAAAAACAGTTCTGCGGAGTAATAGTTCTATTCATCACACCCGAGTAGATAGTCCAACCGGAGGAAGTTTATCTGAATCGCCGCTTGAATCTCTAGCCAAGAACCAAATTCGCAAAGTTTCTGGCTCGCCATTCCTCTCTACAGTCGCTCCTAAAAAGGACAGCATTTTTGGTAGTAGACTAACGAAATCTAAGACGGTTGGAGATGTAAATCAACCAATTTCAATTGATACCAATGTCGAAGCTAGACCACCCCAGAAACCATCTGGTCCACGGGCGCAGAAGTCGACAAAAGCAGGCAACAAGTCTCCTGCTGAAAACAGTCCGGAAGAGCCTCCAACACCATCTTCGATGAGTAATTTGAGGAGAAAATTAAGCTTGTCTTGGAAAAGAAGCAATTCGAAGAGTAGTCATCATGCGTCTTCCGGATCTGTTGACAAGGCCTCCGAGAAGCATGCTCGACAGGACAGCATGCCACCTCCGCGATTACCAATTTCGGCGTCCATGAATATAAGCGCGGCGAAGGCTTCTAGTCCGAGCCACACCACGAAACCATCGGGAACGTATTTGGAATCCAGGCGTAGGAAGAGTTCTGCGTCCAGTCTCAACACTATGTTTACGCAGAAGAGTCGGGGCGATGCCTGGACAAGCTCCAAGGAAGACGTGGGTAACAGCTCGATGGTTGAGGCTTCATCACAACCCCGGAATTTATCTATGCAGAAGGTGCTCCGTCCAAGGCCGTCTACTGCATCAATTAAGCGCCGGGATTCTTATACCGCAGAGTTGGATAAGGACGACATGGTCGCCGAGGACGAGATGAGGAAGTTAGCCCTGAGGAGGAAGGAGACGGAAATGGCGGCTCGAACGCTAGATGCTCTCCGCAAGAGGGCAACGCCGAAGGAGCGTGTCGGTGCTCATGAAGCAATACGGATAGCCATGCTAAACATCTACGAGAGAGGCGAGATTGTCGACTATAACGACGTCTATTTCTGCGGCACTCAAAATGCTGGTAAAGTCATCGGCGATTTGAACTCGAAACTTCCAAACTTTGGTTACGATGACGAGCGCGGAGACTACTCGATTGTTGTGGGTGATCATCTTGCGTATCGTTACGAGATTGTCGATGTTCTCGGAAAGGGTAGTTTTGGTCAAGTGGTGAGATGTATCGATCACAAAACTGGCGTGCTTGTTGCGGTGAAGATCATCCGCAATAAGAAGAGATTCCATCAGCAAGCTCTTGTCGAAGTCAATATTCTACAAAAGCTTCGTGAATGGGTAAGTTACTAACATTGTGCATCTAACTTGTAGATTTCACTAACAGGGCTTCAGGATCCTCAAAACAGACATAGCATGGTCAACTTCACTCACAGTTTTTATTTCCGTGGCCATCTCTGCATTTCGACCGAGCTTCTTGACATGAATCTCTACGAATTCATCAAATCCAACGCCTTCCGCGGATTTTCTCTCAAGCTCATCAGACGATTCACCAAACAGATGTTGAGCTCTCTCAACCTCCTGAAGCAGCACAAGGTGATCCATTGCGATCTTAAACCGGAAAACATTTTACTTCGACATCCTATGCATTCCGAAATCAAGGTCATCGATTTTGGTTCCAGTTGTTTTGAAAACGAAAAGGTTTATACATATATTCAATCCCGATTCTATCGATCGCCTGAGGTTATCCTGGGAATGACCTACGGCCTCCCAATTGACATGTGGAGTTTGGGCTGCATTCTCGCTGAGTTGTACACCGGTGTTCCCATTTTCCCCGGTGAGAATGAGCAAGAACAGCTTGCTTGCATCATGGAGGTATTTGGTCCACCCGAAAAGCATCTCATTGAGAAGAGTACGAGAAAGAAGCTTTTCTTTGATTCGATGGGCAAGCCGCGCTTGACGGTATCTTCAAAAGGCAGGAGGCGTCGTCCATCCTCCAAGACACTTCAACAGGCTATCAAATGTGATGACGAACCATTCCTCGACTTCCTTGGACGGTGTTTACGATGGGACCCGGACCGCCGTCTTAAGCCTGAAGAGGCTATACGACACGAGTTCATTACCGGACAGAAAACATCTGTTCCTGTACCTAGAACACGGGAGTCCTCTCCGGTCAAGCGTCATAATACCATTTCAACACCGCGGCCCCTACCCGAACCCCCGGGACCCGGCAAGAGCGGACCAACCCTACGGCCCAGAGAAACGAACAATAGCCCTCTGAAGCCAGGCGGGGCAGCGAGACGGACGTCTGCTTTCACCGGACTTACTTCCGGTACAAAAAGAGCTAGTGCGGGAACAGCTGCAACAGTAGGCAACAGCAACCTTCCCCGTGTGGCCGGCCGAACTGCTAGCGGCAAACAAGATCTGGCCTCGGTGGGGGCTAATGTTGCTATGAGTCGACGAGCTTGAATGAGTAAATATTCACACATTAGGAGCTTGACATCGAGTCTCCTGGCACGTTTTATGAGATTAATTAGGCATTTATTTCCATTGACACCATAGAGGGGTCAAATCAGCTTCCATGTTTATACGTCTGTCACGGATGGCGGCGTGATGTATTGCACATGTTTTTAAGACGACGAATACCGAAAATCGAGTATACATACCTACCATGTCGAAGCTAAATAGCTACCATCGCTACTATTAGTTTCTTTCCGGTGTCGCCTTGCTACTATATACATGGATAATGTTGGCCATGTTTGCTTACCGCATTCGATCCCGATGACGAGTGAATATACAACTACATAATGCTTTTAAGTCTAGCTTTGTGCATGAGTTAAACGGAGACGGAGCATAGCCTTGAGTTAAGGGGCATGAACATTATTATTTTTTATCTCCTTTTTTTTCCTTTGAACGCATGTACTTATAGTACTTTATATAATGACGAAGGTCCAAGCCGTAAAATGCAGATAGAGGGGCGAACTCAACTTCGAGTTCCCTAACGGCGCGCCTTAAGGGGGTGAATGTTTAGAAGACGGACAAAGGGGGACGCTGCAGACGAAAGCAAAAACCAAATGACGACAGAAGAGGGTTAGATAGGCGTAGGTGTAGGTGTAGGTGAAGGTGAAGGTGAAGATATGAGGTAGAGAGGATATCCGATACCTACCTATGCTCCTTGCTACCTAGCATATCAAAACGCATCAAAACCCACCTCGATTGATATCTTGAAATTTCGTGCCTCTCCGCGACTTGGGAGTTTTGCCCACTTACTTTAGGTACTCATCTTGACTTTCGTGTATGCTAATTCGGGCGGACTTAGTTTTTTCGTACGCTCCTAATACCGTTGCAAGCTACTTGGTTGTTTCAACGAGCGAATCTCCGGGTTCTTCGACTACCTACTTAATACAGAGGGGAGTGGCAACTTTCTCGTAATACATACTAGCAGTCAGTCAGTCAGTCAGTCAGTCAGTTAGTCAATTAGTCAGTCGGTGGATATATGACTGACCTGACCGGACCGGCTTTGGAGAAGCAGAAATCGGCGAGGAATGTTGTCGCTAGTTCGAGAATCTCACTTGACGGGCGGAATATGCAGTCAATAAGTAGGTACCTAACCTACGGGTACGTAAGATATATACAAACACATATACATACCTATATACATACCTAGGTAGGTATACATACCTATACATATGCATATACATATGCGTCTACTTGGCGGTACTTCCACGACTGCGCAGCAATGGCAAAGGCAAGGTACCGATAATCAACCAACCAACCAACCAACCTAAGCAGCCACCACACCCCCCATTTTTTTAATTATCCCGACCACGTGAAGGAGGCGGATATAAGAGATAGGTAGGTAGGTGGACGATGTCAGCAGCCGAGCCGAGGGTCGGCACCGTCGCACGAGCCCTATGCACGTACGCACGCACGTACGTACGGGCCGGTGGCGAGGGCGTTGTTGGAGATGCGTGCGTGCTAAGTGAGGGGAGTATGCATAGGTACCTATCTAGGTATATTAGGTATAACTAGAGGAGAGGGGCTATGTCAGTATGTATGTGTGTATATATGTATAATGTAGGTGGCAGTCGAAGAGGTCGGAGAATGGGCACGTTGCATTGCGAGGTATGTTCGCGTATATGTCGGAGATGGTGGTCACCGCCAGGTAGGCGTTAAACTCGCTCAGCTGGGTCGGAACATGCGGTGGAATTACTTCGGTATTTTGGCATGTGAGTAATGTAATGTAAGTGTAAGTGTATGTGTATGTGTATGTGTAATGGCTCAGGCACGCATAAATCCTCGGCCTTTTTTCGCTGCTGCTGCTGCTGCTGCTACTATCCTATATTACACCGCGTACATTACATTACATTACATTACATTACCTACCTGTTTACCCGTGCGACCCGGGACTCGGTATTGCGAGCGGCCTCCTTCATGTAGGCCCCATCCTATTAGCCGTCATACATATCTCAGCTGAGATGCACGTTCCGCGCGGATTATACATGTATGATATAGGCGATAAGGAGGCCGGGAATCAAGTGGCTCCGGCCGCGTCGTCGGACTCGGATAGCCTATATTTATAATACTTTGAAGTAGGCTATTTCTCCTGGTTTATAGGGGTTTAATATCAAATCCGTTTCGCCTTCTTCGTCTTTGCGGGTTTCGGCTTTTTTTTTCTTACCGCAGGTACCTGGTCGCTTTTCTTTATTTTATTCTTTATTTTATTCTTTATTTTATATTCTTTATTTTATATTCTTTTATATCATAGGTAATTCTGCGATGCGCTGAAGTAACATTATCTAAAAGGTATGTATTCCTGACTCCTTCCGTCCCCCCCTTTTCCCCAATATACTTGTCTATATCTGGTCATCAGAGCTGGCGAAAATGGAATGAAGGAAAGGAGTAGATTAGATACCTGTTAACCTACTCACTTCCCTGGGATTTCCGAATGCAACACTTAAAGATTACACCGAATGGCTATGTACCTCTATAGGTAAAAAAAAAAAAAAACATAATAAATTATACGACTAGGCATATTCGATACGTATTGAGTAGTAGTGCACAGAGCAACGACGTCGTCGGTAGTATTTGATCCTCTTAGACGCGTATCGTGTACCATGTTAAAAAAAGACATAAGGCCCTCCATAGCACCTTTAAATGGTTCCTTGTACGACCCGTTGCAGCGCAGCCAGCTCCCAGAAGATACATATTCGGGAACGGATTTCCAAAGTGGCTTGCTACGAGGCGATTTAACAGATACAATTACTGGCTGCGTTGAATTGACGTAATGAAACGATATAAGAAAATGCCTATCACTTGGCCTCAATCCTACCTCGGCAACTCGCAAGCAATACCGTAGTAGTTGGCATGCTCTTCAGCTTTGCCACGGTCGGACATGAGGGGGAAACGCCCTCTCGGTCTATTCCTTCTCCATTCCCACCAATATCCTTCCTTTGATACACGCCATTTGCCGCTCCGGTAGAACAGGCAGCTGTAATGCAGAATGCGTAATGTGGAATGCAGATATCGGCACAGCATCTTTAACTTGCATGGTGCTGTGCTCTCAGGTGATACATGTTAACGCCGTAGATGCGAAAGCGTGAGATTCGTAGGGCTGCGTTAGGTATATCACAGAGCCCTACGTCTGCGAGATGGGGGCGCACAAGAACCGTATACCGACACCGAGAGGCTTAGATCCGCTGTGCGTCGCCCGAAACGCTAAATTTTCCGTTCGGCTCCGTGTTCTTTCGGGCTACGGTCGAAATAAGAGCCCGCTCCTGATCGGCACCGAGGCTCGGGAGAGGCTACTTCTGGCAAGGCTGACTTGTCGGTCTATCGCCAACGACAGAGCAGTATTATACGAGGCTAGTTTGCCCTCCATTATATGGAGAATGAGGCGTACAAATAAAGAAACATCGTGTCCGCGCTGAAAATATTACACCGTCATACATTCAGAATCTGCTACCTACTGCATATCTCCAGGGGGATTACATTCCGCCCCCTCGCCCTGTTTTATAGGATTCTTCGCGAAGGAGGCTTACTAAAATAAAGATAAACATTAAACAATTGAACGCAAAGAACCATGGCACGAATCGCCCTGTAAAGTATAGTATGAAATCGTAACCGAAAAACTTACGTAACATCATAGCTACTCTTAAAGAAGAGTAACTATAGGCTGTCTTACTTTGCAATGCCAAGAAATCGTGATAGGCGCTCGAAGTCGAGCTCTTGAGGCCGCCGAGATGGAGCTTGCTTTCCTACTGACAGCTATTTTCATAATAGATAGCTCTAAAATAAGGTGGAGTTCGGAAGAATATAATTTAGTCAATAATTGGTAATATGTCATCGTAAGATATAATTGTTGCTGACTTGTTGACCAGCTAGGTCCAGTACGCCAGCGGACCCACTGGCTACTTAAAGATGACTCTTCTAACGGAAACCGGCGTCTATACCGGTCATGAGAATATGTACGTGAGGTAATGCTACCCGGGTAGTTAGTCTTGATTTTGCAATTAGCACTTGATCCACGAGACTGCTCATTCCCTAATGGGCTATAAAGGTACATGAAATAGGGTAATTTGGCTAATCAGGTCTAGTTGACAATCTTAGGGGTAAGACTAGAGTTTAGATGATTGTAGATGCGGTGGAGTCACGAATCGTCATACCCTAGCCCAGCTGATGAATCCCGGGAAGAACGGTAAGCTTCATCAAAATTGCTTTTACATATCAGCACGATCGACCGATTGGGTAACGGTGAGAAGACTAGGTGAGCAACACTGGGGTGATTACCCGGGCGTTGACATCGCTGGCTTCTAGGCTCTTGCATATCGGTAGAACCATAAGATATCTGACGCGACGATATCCGCCTTTAGCTATCGGCTAATACTGTATAGCTCTGAGTGAAGCTGTTGAGGCTGACATCTCGCAGCAATTAGGCAGAGCCCCGCGATGGAGCATATAGGAATCCGTCCTAGCCGGATACGGGTATAACCCTCAAGAATACGGCTCAAACACTGTTGCACTAGTCGCAAGGCTGTCTCAATGCTGATCGTCTCTCAGAGGGCCGAGCTAAGGGAGAGTCCACAATAGTAACAGGAGGGCGCTTCTGCGAATTCCCTTGCGTTCGGAGACGGGATACGGAATTGGTACGTTATATGGACCGTCGAAGAAGTGTACGTAATTCAACTCGGGAGAGGTAAGCAATGATGTAGACGATGACCGATACCATGATTTTAAGTGATGCCGGTATGCATATTGCTGCCTGACTATTGGGGGTCTCTTATTCGTTCCGAAGCACTTTGTGAGAAACTCCCGAGGCTGCCGTTTCAGTAATCTGATACTTGTTAATGACTCCGCCGGCGATGCCGCTGAATTGGTGGAGCACTGGTGGAGGATTTGCCGGGTTTATCTTGGTGCGAAGCAATATGTAGTTTGTAATAGGGAAAGATTCCGCAAGGGCACCCGCTCTACCTATCCCAGTCGAGAACTCATCACTTGATTCCTCAGGCCCCTACGAAAAGATCCGCCGTGAAAAGTCGGGGTCCGTTCTTGGCCTATCAGACAGCCACCTTTGAGGCGCAGTCGTGGAAGTTGGAGTCAGGCGATGCCACACTTGCAGAGACGAGAAGACTCATCCACGATGCTAAATAAGCCAGGTACCATGAGTACATGCATCTATATGGGGTACGGATAGAAATCCGGGAGGAAAAGAAGCCATGTAGAGAAACAACGGGGACACGGAGAGATAGCGATTGGGCGGATTGCGAAACATCAGTAAGAATCCCCCACAATCGAGGAAATAATACCAATCGTCATTTTTCTATAACATTGATGACTCCTTTGGCTCCATAACGATAAGGCTGAATTTGCTCAATGACCATGTTCAAAGATTCGGGAATAGGCTGACAGCCACGGTAGTCGTCAAATTTAGAATACCCAAAAAAGATAAGCGCCTGGTAATTCAACGGTTGACAGGATGGTCAA